TGCCCCGAGGCAGCAAACATTGGGGGAGTTGTTCCTGATTTTTGAGATGGAAATATAATTTTTTTTCTAATAGAACGCAAGAAAAATTTTCTACTCCGCTGGAGAAAAACGAAAATTTTCGATTATTGGGGGGTTGTCACAACCCCCAGTCGGGCCACCCTTGCCTTTTTATCTGTATTTAGTTGTCCTCAAAATATTTTGACATTGATATTTACCTTGGTTATCGATATAATCTAGATTTTGATGAACGACTTTTTTTTTTACGATGTAGATTTCACCGAAATGGTTTGAATATATACTCAAGATTTACAAAAAAAACGGAAGAAGGAATTGTTATAGTTGTATTTTGAGTCAAAAAAAAACATCATTTTGCGTTCTTTTTTTCTTGATTTTTATTATAAAAGACACGTACTTACTGAAACTGATTACAATACTTGCACGTAAGTTACATATTTATCAGTATTTTATTCGTAGAAATAAAAGTGAATCGCTGTTTTTTTTTATAACAATCATTATTTCAGATATAGATTTAAACAATGTCAAGATCTGACAATGAAAATTTGGATATAATCCGTTCATCTTTAAAACTTTGTCCAAACTTTCCAAAGAAAGGGATTACATTCATGTATGTATATTTTTTTTGTTCTAAATTAAAAAAGAAATATATCTATATATATCTTTTGAAATTTTAGTGATGTTTTCGGTATTTTTGCTAATCCAACAGCTCATCGTGCATTAATTGATGTTATTTTAAATCGTATAAAAAAATCAAATACAAAAATTGAAGCTATTGCTGGACTTGAAGCACGTGGATTTATATTTGGTCCACAAATTGCTTTAGAATTACAAGTACCATTTCTTCCTGTTCGAAAACATGGAAAACTTCCAGGAAAAGTATCTGCAATTGATTATGATCTTGAATATGGTAACGAAAATCTTTGTCTTTAATAGAAATTAAACTTTAAAAAGAAATGTTTTTTTTTTCTAGGTAAAGATACAATAGAAATGCAAATGAATATTCTTCAGCCAGGAACGAAAATTCTTTTATTGGACGATTTACTTGCTACCGGTGGTCAGTTTGTTTGTTTTCTTAATTATCATTATTAAATTATGCTTAGAAAAATTAATTCTATTTTTTAAAGGTACATTGGGTGCGGCACAAAAATTATGTGTTCAACTTGGTTATGAAGTAGTTGAAACTTTAGTAATAATTGAATTAATCGGTTTCAATGGACG